TCTATCTATCTATCTATCTATCTATCTATCTATCTATCTATCTATCTGTCGCAATAATAAACGGATTTGGATTCGTTCATTTTTTATGTATTTCCAGTCCTGAATGAATTATCCAAATTGACATTTTCCAATCATATTTGCTAATTTTCTTCTTTTCCGGCTGCCACAATGAAATTATGTTGAAAGATATATTTTTTATTTTTTTTAAAAACTACCAATGATACAGATGGTGAAAAAACTAAATCTGAGTCTGACATTGTTTTATATAAATGCTATAAATCATAGTCTTTCTTTTTTACCCTTTATTGTAAATTCATTCTCCAAACAAATATGATCTAATTAATTTTTTCTTTCCTTTAAATATTTATCTAATTAAGCTGCCAACCCGAACCCAGCATTGTTCATGCAACTATCCTGTTGTCTCAAAGTAAAAGAGTGTGTGTTGGAGGGGGGGAATTAATATTAAAAGGTCTGAGAATGAGAGCATGACTGCGAAACACCTCAGAAAGTCTCTCATGCGTGCTTGATTGGATGAAAAGACTCCTGGAATGATTCAAAACATCAGGAACAAACTCACCGTTTTGTATATCAGTGTATCAAGTCAAGCATTTAACACAGCAGGAAATATGGGATTTGAGCTGCTAAAAAGCTTCCTGGTGACCAGATCATACAAGACAGCATCAATAATTCATGCATGTGGTCAGAAAAATCAATACAAGGGGCTCCAGACGGTCTGCTAGCATTAAGATATTCTTAGATAATTCATATATTTAGAGTTCAACTCTGCTGATTGTGTTACTTTATTATAATTATGACACGATTTTAATAATCTGTGCACTTCATGAATGCTTGTGCTTTGGGTTATGACTATTTTTCTCTTCAGTCTAAACTAATATATGAGAATTCAGATGATGAAAGCAGATGGAGGCTTTGACAGATGACCAAAGTCCCAAGTGAGGGAATATCGTTTCATACTCAACATTGTCAGGAATCAGATGTCAGACAATTTATACACGGTTGGCTGGAAAAAATCACCAGCTCGAGAGAAATTTTAACCCCCCAAAAAATGATAAAGTTTGTAAAAAGTTGAGCCTGTTTCTTGCCAACCGAATCCAACAGCTAAGAAACACCAACTTTGACCGAGAGGTGCTCGATCTTCACGGTTATTATCTAAGCATGAATAAAAGAGGCTTTGTTTCTTTCAGGTTTCTTCCTCCTGGAGGTCACCCCGGGGCTTTTTTCTGCCCCGTTTGCTGGAGAGAGGCTGACTGACACTCAAATCTAAGGAAAAACCTGAATTCCACCGAAACGGTCCGTTTCATGTCCTTATCTGTCCATTTTGCTCTGGCATTTCGGTGTCCTTTACTGAGAGTTGTACTTCAAAAAGTGCGTTTTCCGCGTCATTAGCTCGTCTAAGTGTGGAGCAGATGGAGCACAAACAGGGATGGATGAGCACGGCCGGAGCTTAAAAGATGGGAAGAAAAACCTGCAAACTGTCACAACAACAATAACAAAAGAAAAAAAAGGGAAAACGACATTTCTGGTTTGTTTCATTTTATTTGGTCTTCATTTGGGTTGTTAACATTTGCTAAAAGAAGGATGACGCTGGATGGTGGAGTTTACTGAACCGCTTTGACTTTATGTGAACAGTTTTCAGAAATGATACACGACTGATGACAGGATATGGATTTACAGGGAGATTTCGATGCAACAGAAGGTCAAAGTGGCCCTTCAGACAGAAAAGAGAAACAGAGACAGGCTGAAGGGCCTGATAATTCCTGCTCTGGCGCCATCTTGTGGCCGCAGAGCAGAATGCAGCATGATTTATCAAGTTCAAATCTACTCTCAAAGTGCAAAACAATGTTAGATTTTCTGTCGTTTATCCATATAGATGATGTCAATAATCAATTTTAAAAACATGAAGAGATTCATCACATTTTAAAAGCAGGGACATCAAAGTCTGCTCCTTTTTGGGCGGCTGTCCTTCAAGTTTTAGGCGTTTTCCTGCTGCTACACATCCAATTCAAATCAACGCACCATTATTAAGTCTTATAGTCTGAATCAGGTGAGCTGAAGCAGGAAAAAATCTCAAACCTGCAGGGCGGCAGGCCAAAGAGGAGCACAGTTTGAGGCCCCGGCTTTTGGGTTCGGGGAGGTTTTGGAGCTCTGACAAACGCTTAACTTTAGGTTTACCAGATCTCACGGCAAAACTCCCGGCTGCTTCGACAGGATGCGAGTCGGGTGCCGTAAAAGGTGCGTTGCAATTCAGATTTAACGGAGAGACGAGGACGGAGACGTTCGGTCCAAACCGCCCCGCTTATTGGGGCTGCGGGGGCCCTTTTTGGACGTTCTAAGACCAGCTACGGTCCCTTCCTGGTCCCTTTTGACGGGGCCTGATTTGGGGCCGGCCTCACAGGGCGCAGGCCCCGTCGCAGCGGATGTGGTACTGCCTGAGGTAGTCCCTGAGCTGGGGGGGCAGCGGCAGGCCCTCCACGCCCCGGTAGGTGGTGCAGCTGCAGATCACCGCCCTGCACAGGTGCTGCAGCGGGAAGGGGAAGGTCCTGGGCAGCGGTTTGGACAGCAGGGGCTCGAAGAAGAGGCAGGTGGCCGGGTCGCTGTAGTGCCTGAGCAGGCCGGTCACGCTGGGGTCCCGGTACATGCACGGGTCGCGCACGTCGAAGCTAAAACGCTTCCCGTTCTGCTCGATCCGCGCGTGCAGGGAGCGGCTGTAGCGGCGGAAGCTGACCGAGAAGAGGAACTCGTCCTGGGCCGAGTCCCGGAGCAGGAAGGTGCCCTCGGGCTGGCCCTCCAGGAGCTCCTCGGCCTGGAAGCGGTCCAGGACCCCCCAGTAGCACGGGCTGTTGTTGATCTGCAGGAGGTCCGGGACCAGGATGTAGTCCGTGTGGCCGCAGCTGACCGCCGCCCCGGCGCGGCCGCAGGACGGGTCCCAGTCCTCCAGGGCGGGGCTCCCGGGGGAGCAGCAGATGTCCTCCCAGGAGATGGGCGTTTGCGGGGGAGAGGCGGAGGACGACACGCTCAGCTTCAGGGGGGCCTCCATGTCTTTGAGGGCACTTTGGTGGGCGGCTTGGTTCTTGATGAGGTGCCAGCATTTGGCCAGCTCGGACTTGGAGGAGAAGGGACAGCTGTCCTGCATGAGCTCCGACACGTGGATCTTGCGCTTGGACCAGAAGAGGACGGAGAAGGGGCGCGAGGCCCCGGGGGGGAGGTGGCAGTGGTGGTGGTGGTGGTGGTGGTGGTGGGGGGGGGAGCGCAGCGGGAAGCACTGGCCCACGGCGTCCTGGAACTTCTGCCGCAGCGAGCGGCGGGACAGCGCCTTGCGGCAGGCGTCCACCTCCCCGGCCGCCAGCGCGTCCCCCAGGGCGCAGCAGCAGCTGCCCTTGCGCTCGCGGTGGCGTCGGCGGGGGCAGGAGGTGGAGCGCAGGCCCAGGTCCTCCCCCCCCCTCCGCCTCCAGCCCGCCGGGGCTGGAGCCGTTCCGGCCGCTCCGGGAGCGCTTCTTCCCCCGCCACGCGTAGCTGTCCGCGCTCCAGCTCCGGAGGCCGCACTTGGGCCGGGCGTCCGCCCCCCGGGGCTTCTTCTCCGACATGCCTGCTCGCGCTTCCGACCCCTGTGGAGCGATAGGGAAGAAGCCGGGTTAAGAAAGGTCCTCCCTCCAAAGCCATCCATCCATCCATCCATCCATCCAATATCATAACCCCTTATCCCCTAATGGGGTCAGGGGGGGACTGGAGCCTATCCCAGTAGCCAATGGGGAGAGGCGGGGTCACCCTGGACGGTCCCCAGTCCATCACAGGGACACACAGAGACACACAAGGACCAACAACCAGAAAACCTCCAAAAAACTGCCATAATGCAGCTAAAAGTCAAATATTTGAGAGGAAAAACAGCATCAAAACAAAAAAAGGGCAAATGATCGCAGCAAAATGTGGGTTCATCTGTGAAAAAAGGAGCATGTCAAAGCCAGAAGTGCACAAAAACACGAGATTTTAGTTTCTACTTAAAAGCTCATTTATGCTATTAAGCATATTTATCCTATTTGAAGAAAACCTGAACCAGGACTGAAGGAACATGAGGGTCACCAGAGCTAAAAGCTGCTGGTTGTGTGAGCTGAAAGCTTTAAAAAGAACTGAAACCAGCGTGTTTGGAGCATTTGGAGGAAACGGCTGAGCAGACGGGGCCAATACAGCCGGTCAGTTTTACAGCCTGAACCAGAGGGAGGCAGCTACAACTCCCACAGAACTTCCTGACCCCCCTGCTGACCACTCAGAGCCAGAGATGGAGGGGACTCCTACGTGGCTCCAATAACAGGATTCCCTCACCAGGGCCGACCAGAAACTCAGACCGGTTTGGTTTTCCTCCCTCCAGACCATGTGGATCTGGAGGAGGAGACGGGTTAATGGCTACTCCTCACTCTGTGTGGACCACACCATGTGAGACACCAGGAGCTGGAACTCCTGATCCAAGAGATTCTACCACCAGGGAAAAATCTTCTCAAAAAGGGGCAGAAAACGCCCAGCTTTAGGGGACCCTGTTTTAATCCCCCCTCAGAGGGATTTAATCGTCTGCTTAAGAAGGGATAACAAAGTTATAGAGAGTTGCCCTTTGTTTTACTTTTAATCAGTAAATGGCCCAACCAGGCTTTTTTGTGGGGTGGGGGGTCTTTTCAGGGACACAAACTGAAAAGAAATGTTTCAGATAGGAAGTGATGAGAGGTGCTGTAGCTGGGAATTGCTGATAATAAAAAAACAAAACATCAACGTTTAAGCAAGTCGATAAATTAAGCAAGTCGTTCAATTTTCTAAAGGATCCGCTTGTTTCTGGTAGGGTCACCTAGCGGCTGGAGCCTTTTCCAGCCTTTTCCAGGGTTCACTTTAGTAAACCCTAAGACACCAATCATCCAAACCTGGGTGGGCACCACAGGGGTTGTTTGATATAGAACATTCATGGCACATAATGCAAAACTCCACAAAAAAGTTATTTTTTCATGGTCCAAGACTGTTAAGTTACAAAAAAAAAATCTGTTTTGATACTTGGATTTTTGCAGGCCACTGAAATAAACTGCATTTTGCAAAGCTCCAGATCCAGAAACTTGTCAGGTCAACATTGTAAAAAAAGAAAAGAAAAAAAGAAACACTTAACCTGATGCATTCTAATGAAAAAAGAAAAACAAATGTACGTTACTCAAGATGAAACAAAGTCCCTGATTCATCTGCTGGTCACCCCCAGAGGCAGTAAAGAAGATTTTCTTTCTCACTTTTCTTCAAACTACTAAACTGATCTGTTAGATAAGCTGTTGAGGTCCACTAAAGAAAACTTTTAAATCTGCTCACAGGTAATCTGTTTTAACCCCGTTTTATAATCTTCATCAGCAGTTTGTAGGGATGGTTGACACACCTTCCTGTTAAATAAAAACCTTTTGAAGATGAATGCTAGAGATGCTTTTACCTTCAGAAGTGTGTCAGAAACGAGGCTCTGCGTCCATGCTCCGGCCGTTTGCAGCTCTGTGTGGACGCCTGAGCAGCCGTTCCATCCTCTGACAGACGGTAGGCTGCTCCGCTTCCTATATAATTATGATGCCAGGTCCCTGAGGGGGCAGCAGTTTCCTCCCGGCCAGGGCCAGGTCTGGATGAATGGAGCGGGGGGGAGGGGGGGTTAATGGCCGTGAAACATCCTCTCCTCCGTCTCGCCTCTCCTTTACTCGTTCATTCATGAACTGCCTCCCCCGAAAAAGTGAAAGATGAAAGATAACCAGGGCGGCTGGGAAGTGCCTCTTCGGGCCCAAAGCGAATTATTTCTGCTGGTGGAGTATTTTCGACTTCATTAGGGGCCGAAGCTGGACTCAAAAGCATCAAAGTGCATTTCTTGTGCAGCTTTGAATCGATTTGATGTGGCGGATGCCACACTACAAACAGGCTTCTTTTCTTTTTTTTTTCGCGTTCACCGACTCAAATTAACGATTGGAGGAAACAAGCGAGCGTTTAAAAAGCTTCACTTATTGACTGAATGACCTCTCAGTCTCCCAGTTTAAACTTCCAGCAAGTGCAGCTGAAAGGCCTCATTGGTCGGCATGATGTCATGTGTGGGGGCCCCCACTCAGTCCAAATTTTGGGAGATTTATAATTCATGAATCAAACAGTCTTACATCTATCAGACGGATATTGCTCCCAGTGGCTTTGGCGGCTTTGCTGGTGTCTGTTTGTGCTGCGCTTTCTCAGCTCTAACGGATTAAGGATGCTCATCAATAAAGGCCCAACGTCTCAGACGGAGTAGTGACACTCAGCTTCCTCTCAGCTGAATATTTAATGCCCTCCACATTTTCACTCAGGACGATAACGGCACATGTCCTGGCAAACAACCAAATCAATTTATCTGACTCCGGCACCTTGGGACAGGATTTTATAGAAAGTAAAGACTCTAAACTTTGAAACGGAGGAGGTCGGATTACTTAACTGAAACAAACCAAAACTGTTAGTGTTAACCATTTCCTCCTCATGCTGGCGCCTACGAGTCGGGATGCATCAGGAAAGGAGGATTTACCAATAAAACATCCCCTTTATGACCATTTTATGGCTCAAAAATCACCCGTTTTTCACCCATAAGAACCCACAGTGACAAAGGTGTGACTACCTATTTAAACTGAAATACATTTATTAAAAACGGACAATGGAACTTCAGGAAATCACTGATCTTTTACATTTTCTGGTGGTGATAAAGTAGGTTCATTTGGTCAGTTTTCCTTTCTAAGAACTGTTTGGATCTCATCTCTAAAAACAGGACCATGAGCCTACTGTTTTAATAGCAGTTCCACAATAGCCCAAACTGGTAGATGTGTGCATGATTATGAACTTGTTGTGCTCCTTGTTGCAAGTCCGTCTGGCTGCAGTCTGCAGGAAGCCAAGGAGGGATATCCAACTCCGCCCACATCCAAGTCGGCCATTTGGATTAGATCCCTCCTCATAGTAACCCAACTCAACTCTTTCTAAAAAAAAAAAGCTTCAGATGAATCTGCAAATCAAAATAAAATAATTGATCGCAAAGATTTTCTTGTCAGTTTAAATAAGAATCCACTTTCAAACTTAAACGAGGATTCATTTTCAAATGAGCAATAATAAATAAGTAAATACATTTTCCTGCTTCTGTGCTTGTAATTCTGATTAATCTCCTTTAGTTGTCATTCTGTTGTTTGCATTGTGTTGATATATTTCATAAAAAATACAGAGAAGAGAAAGTCAGTGGGGCTCATTTTGTTGGAGGAAACAAGCTGCCAAAGCATGAACAGAACTAAAAACTACAAACCAGCAGCCTATTTCCAAACACCAAAGACGGGTTTCTCCATATCCAGTACATCCAAAACACCTAATTCAGATTAAATGGATCCATCCTAAAGATTGTTGAGCTCTGCTGACGGTATTTTGGCTTAAACCACCTAATACCTGCAACCAGGGCCCCTCGAGGACCGGATTTGGACATTTCTGACCAAAGAGAAAACAAACAGGGATGGACAAGTGGGAAAAAGGAGGGGAAAACTCTGAATGAAACCAGGTCTGACAGGGAAAGTGGAGGTGATACAAACAGAAGTGAAAAGATACCAAAATAAAGCAAATACTGTGTGTAAAAACATCAGAAAAACAGAGTTGTTCTTCTCAGGTTTGACCCTCCTGTCCTGCGTTCTGAGGGTGTGGTGCAGAGTTTTGTCCAGGAGTTCCTCCTCAAATCCTACCACCTTTAAAATGCTCCAGCAGAGACTCGGCCGAGGCCTGAAATGGGTCCACGGTGCACAGGCATCGATCCTCTGAGCCGCACAGCCAACGGGACCCTTTATGAATAATTAATCCAGCTCGAATGAATGGAGACGCGGCTCATTATGTCTTTTTACACGCCGGCTAACGCAACTTTATTTGACGTTCTTTCGGTCACAGGGAAGGAAATTCAAAATCTCTGATAGGATCTTCTCAACCAGACTTGTGTCTTCCTACAAAAGACATTCACGTTTTAGCATTTGGCCGTTTTATCCCCTAAAATGGTCAGAAACCTTTGTGTGGTTAAATATAAGGAAACACCACCGTCTCATTTCCTACTGAAAGTGATACAAACCCTTTATATCTTACACCACTGTGCTCTAAATCAGATTTAAAGTGTGTAGACCTGCTATTTATGTCCATGAATCTGCATCCAGAAGAACAATTTTTCCAGGAGAACAACTCAAAAATACACTTTAAGTCCCATAAAGTGCCAAACAGACATACTTAAGCTCCTAATCGCACCTTTAGGGCTCCAAAAACTCGTTTCTGGTCAATTTTATTTGTCAACTCACAGATGACTTATTTAAAAGTATTTTCTCCTTATCTGGAGTGGCTTCACTTCATATTTACGCGGCTTGAAAAGTCATTGTTTCTTCTCCAGTGCTCTCTGTGTGTGTGTGTTTGTGTGTGTGTGTGTGTGTGGGGGGGATTATTATAGAGACAGTAAATTGAATCAGCAGTCGGTCTGTGGCTCCACTGGTCTCAGTTGTTTCCATTGATCTGTATCAGAACAGTATCGCTGCACCTCTCGCTCTCTATCTGCCTTCTGCTTTTTTTCTGTTTTTTTGAAGATGTCTAAACCCCCCCCCCCCCCCCAACGCACAGAGAGATGCTGCTCCCTTGTTTCCAGCCTCTTCCTGTCTGGGCCGCCTTCTGGCAGGTCCAGGCATCACACAGCTACCGCGTTTTCATCTGTTTTCATCTGTTTATATCTGTTTTCGTCTGTTTTCATCTGTTTTTATCTGTTTTCGTCTGTTTTCGTCTGTTTTCCTCTCTTTTGAATTCAGATGTTAGCAGCAGAGGATGTTTGGTCCTCTCTTCTGATCACAGATCTGTTTGTCTGAGACAGTGTTGAACATCTGTATTTCATCCGCATGATGCTACCCGTCCTCTCTTCTCCGTACAAAACATTTGGATTTGGGGTAATTCACTTATCCGCTCTTTTTACAGGAAGTAGAGGCAAAAATTGATGCTCAGATCTCTTACAGCTGCAGCCAGAGGCTTGTTTGCCACATGACCACAGGAAATGGGGGGGAAAAGCCCACCAGGCCAGTCCTCCAAGCAGATTTTAATAAAGATTTATAATCAGGAACTACCAGTTTCCCCTTCTTTTTACATCCTTCTTCTTCCTGGTAAATGTTATTTGTCAGCTCACATATGACTTATTTTCTTTTTTAAAGTCTTTTCTCCTGTTTTCTCCCTCTCTTGAGTGGCTTTGCTTCGTATCTATCTTCCACAGATGAAGACATTTGTCTGCAGGGTTTGTGAGGCGTTCGTGGCCATTAAGACGCAGACGGACTCTGGCCTTCATCTGCTGTGGACATGTGAGCCCCTGGATCGACTTTCCTCCGGGGAGGTTTATTTATTCCGCTTCCCGCAACCAAGGTGCACCCAGAGAGGTCTCCTCTGTCCAGCCTGCTAATGTAACCCACACTGGACGCACACACAGACACACAACGCCAGGGGTGTGTGTGAGAGTCTCTTGCTTTGGCTTTCTGATCTTTTCTAAGGTTTGTCATTCCTCAGTTTGCAGTTTCTTTATGTTGAGCTGGTAGTTTGTGTGTTTTCTGGTTGTTGAGCTCCCTTCTGATCCCACTCCCGCCTTTTTTTCCTCAAACTGTTCCACTGGTTTGTGTGTGTTCTGCTGCTGTGTTTCCACAACTGGTGAGAAATAAACTGTCCTGGGACTGTCCTCACAGAAATGGGGAAATAGCTCAATTCTTATTCTTATTTTTTGCTTATTTTTGCTTAATTTAGAGGCTTTTATTTTTGACTTTGTATTTATATTCTTATTTTTTTGGCTATTCACATTTAGTGTGTACCTTTACTTAATCTGTATTTTTTGTATTTTTTTGCATTTTGCTCTCTTTGTGCCACTTTTTTGTCCTGTAAGCTGCTGGTAACTTTAATTTCCTGAGG